TTACTTCATCTAGTTCCATATTCAGTTTATTGTTGGTCTTTGTAGGTGAGCCAACTGGTACAGGAATCACAAAAATCATTAAGTAAGGGTGGCTTGTAAACATTTACAACATATCTGGTTGTTTTACTCTGTTTTTTCCTACATTCATTCTTCTTAATTCTTAATTAGGTGCCATGAAATGTCTTTAAAATAAACCCAGTCCCCGTGAACATTTTATAATTTTATAAAAACAGTACCAGATCACTATTTCAGCATTATTAACATGGTAGGAAAATCTAAAGAATATTATCCCATTAGGTAGTGTAGGCAGGTAATTGCACAATCCTCTGTAGTTCTTTTTTCTGAATTTTGTTTATGCAGATGGCTCAACAAGCGCCTAGTCACCAAGAAACCAATTTGTAAGCTATGCATGACCTCCCCTAATTTCCCTATTCCTTGAATCTTTGGGAGAGACTTTTTCTTATGCCGTTAGTACCAATATAGTCATTGTTGATATTATGATTAATTATACTGCCCTTGACAATACTATTACCAATAGAAAATAATACATATCTCAGAATATCAAGTAAAAGGGTTAACAGGTGAAATAGGTAGGACTAGTAATTGACTCTTTTGACGCCCTCTCTTGTGGAGCCATTTATGTCAACAAAATTATTAAATTGAAATCACAGTGGACATTGTATGTGTGTATGTGTATATGGTAAAAATTTTGTAACGTTTGTCTTTTTTTAAAATTTAATCATAGATATTACTTTTATTTTTGGTTGTCATACAGTACATCTACTAATTTTGGTTATTGCAGTAATATGATTTGATATGATTCTACTGCATTAACTTATATTATGTCTCATATGTGATATAAGTTTCCTATGTATTTATGAATATGATGATGATTTTCAGCCTGATCTTACATTTGTAAAGGAAATGTAATGCTTTTAATGTGAGTATTATCATATATTTTTATTTTCTCTCAAACAATCCTTCCTCTGTTCACAGAAATGAATATGATTTTAAGAAATAATATCTGGAGATGTCAAAGGCCTTCCCTCATGCAAATAAGGCATTGCAGCTCAATAATCAAGAAAGCAAGAGATAAACTTGGGACTCTGGGTGATGGACAAGTATCGCTACATAAGGATGATGCTACAGGAATAGCAACAGTAACACTGCAACACCAGCAGAGGAAGAATGCTCTCTCAGGTAAGGGGAAAAGGGATTTTCTTGACGTTATACATATTTATACACATGTAAATGTTCTGTTCTATAAGATAATGTAGCTTTGCTTTATATATAGTTATAAGTGCTGATATATTTACTTGGTCATTGTTGTATCTTTTAGCTAAGTTTACAGTTTATAAGTATATGAAAAAGTTAAATATGATAAAGAATTGATTATCATTGCTTCCATAGTTACCATAGAAGTAAGTTGCAAGAAGATCCATAACTCCTGGCTTACTATTCATTTCGTAAGATATTTCGTACTTTAGTGAGAACTAAAGTTTTTATTGCCATGATTTTCTGATTGTAATAGGCATGATGAGGCAGAAAAAAGGCTGCCAAGGGGTACTATCATATAAAGTTCATGTTCTTTATTTTCAAATTTAACAGGTTCCATGATGGTGCAATTAGCTGACATTGTAGAAGACTTGTCCTCATGGGAGACAGGAAAAGGAGTGATTCTACAGGCTGAAGGAGATTCCTTTTGCTCAGGAGGAGACTTAACCACAGTGAAGGCCATATCCAATCCACAGGATGGCCTGCTAATGTCAACTTTCATGCATGATACATTAACTCGGTTTTATAACTTGCCCTTCATTACGACATGTCTTGTTCATGGCAAGGCTCTTGGAGGTGGTGCTGAGCTCACAACAGCAACTGACTTCAGAGTATTTACAAATACTGGGGAAGTAAGTTTCGTCCAGGGTCGTATGGGGGTGGTGACAGGTTGGGGTGGTGGAACGAGGCTGGTGAAGCTTGTAGGCCCTACTATTGCTCTTGATCTTCTAACCACCTGTAGTAAATTGAATGGCATTAAAGCTTCACAAATTGGTTTAGCCAATCATGTTGTTGGTGCTGAGAAAAGATTCGATGACACCAAGGCATGGTTAATGGAGAGGGTTTCTCATGCCCCAGAGGTCCTTCATGCTATGAAGAGGATAGTCATTGCAGCAAGGGATTCCACATTAAATGAGAGCTTACTCAATGAACGTCTGAATTTCTCACCATTGTGGGGTGGGCCAGCAAATTTAAGAGCCCTAGGTGGAAATATTAAGCATAAATAGAAAAATTTATGCATATATCCATGATGTTCTTTTGTATATATATTTAAAAGGTTTTATTTTTAGTACTGTAGATGCTGTGCAATAAAAAATAATTTTATAAAGAATAGTTCTTAATCTTCCAAAAACAAGTCATGTATTTGATACAGTTATTTTTTAATTTGTGAATAAATATGGATATTATATAAAAGCAAACTTTTTAATGTAACTGTTTAATTAATTTTATTAATTAAGACCCTCCAGACATAGTTTACATTTCTTGGAATGATGCATTGGATATGGTGGTGAATCAGTTTACCCATTTGGGACATTAAAGAAGTTGAGATAGTTTTTCACATTCATTGTGATGAGTGAATTTCATTGCAGATTCCTTTCCACCAATTGTTCCCAGACTTTTACAGGTTGGTGCCCCCCAGGTTCCAGGTGGATTCCAAGTGCCGCCCCCTCTTATGCATACATACAAACACTTTTTTTTTCATTTTGGTATGCTTAAACTTGAAAACATCATGAATAAACATAAAGATTTATTTCTGAAATGAAATATAGCAGTTTTAGCTATTTCACCCCAACTGTCCCCTTTTGCCTCCTCCTCCCAGGTCTTTCCAAAGCATGCTTTACACTACAGTTCCAATAGTTATTTTACAGAAATCATTGACCTGACTGTGCATATAGAATATGAAAAGGGTAATAAAGTTATGGAAAATATAATCTACATAATGGAGTAGTCAAGTAATGTATTTACAGAATTTCCCTGCCATATTAAATTGTAAGTTCAAAAAAGGAGTCAACTGTTCAGAAAATTTGTCCATCTTCTTTCCCTTTCCTGGTAATTATCGTGAAAGCTTTCATATTTATTTCTTTTTTATTAACCATTCAGGTAAACTACTATGATAAACCTGAAAGATATCAGAGAGGACTACTTAACTCTGACCTGATTATGATTACTTGAGCGAAGAAAATGGTAATGAAGATGAAAGCCAAATGTCCAAAAATATTGTCAGGTAAACAAGGAAGGTATGTGTATGTGCATGTGTGTGTGTGTGTGTGTGTGTGTGTGTGTGTGTGTGTGTGTGTGTGTGTGTGTGTGTGTGTGTGTGTGTGTGTGTGTGTGTGTGTGTGTGTGTGTGTGTGTGTGTGTGTGTGTGTGTGTGTGTGTGTGTGTGTGTGTGTGTGTGTGTGTGTGTGTATGCATATACATATATACATAGTACTCTCAGGACGAAGCTCCTATTCAGTTTGCATCATCCCAAAGAAAAAAAATTCCCTGGAAAAGTGTTGTATCAGGAGAGGTCACTGCTCCTGCACTGAAGGCCATAATTATGTGCCTTCAATTATGTAACTTTCCTTTGTAAGAGAAAACAAAACAATACAAAGAAATGCTGGAAGAGGAAATGGATAAATATTTTCCTACTGAAGTGGACATTTGAAAATTGTTTTACTGTTATTAAAGGATTTTAAATTATAATCTGAACAAAGGGGGCTTTATAACTGCTGCTATTTATGAAGTAATGTGAAACTTTCTATCTTTACCCATATATATTTGTATATACTATGCATATATATAATATATATATATATATATATATATATATATATATATATATATATATATATATATATATATATATATATATATATATATATATATATATATATATATATATATATATATATATATATATATATATATATATATACTGGGCTGTCAGACCATGAAGTCAGCAGACGGATTGGCCTGGCAGCAGGGGTCATGAACTCTCTCACAAGAGTATTTGGTACCTGTGCAGAAGGACCAAGCTACGGGTTTTCCTGATAATGCCAGTTTTGCTATACGGTAACGAACATGGACATTGTCCTGTGCCTTGGAGGCTCGTCTTGAAGCCTTTGTAATAGGTCCTTGCGCCAGATCATGGGGTACTGTTGGCGGGACCATGTGTCCAACCAACGGTTGCACCGTGAGACTGGCACAGGACCTGTTATCTGCACAATCCGTGATCGCCAACTCAGGCTATACGGCCACCTGGCTCGTTTCCTCAGGATGATCCTGCCCATCAGGTCGCCTCTGTTCGAGACAACCCTGGGTGGAGGAGGCCTGTGGGACGACCGAGGAAGTCGTGGCTTGGGCAGATCGACCAAACCTGCCGTGAAGAACTAGACGCCCGAGTCCCTGCCTGGCGTGTGTGTGTGTGTGTGTGTGTGTGTGTGTGTGTGTGTGTGTGTGTATGTATAGTATGTATGTATACATACATACATGAATACATAAATAATATATATTTATATTTACATACATATATACACATAGGCACACATACGTACTCACACACACACACACACACACACACACACACACACACACACACACACACACACACACACACACACACACATATATATATATATATATTATATATATTATATATATATATGTATGTATGTATATAGATATACATATATGTACACGTTAATGTGTTAAGTACTTTTATAGTTATGATTTAATGAGATGATTGATGAACACGAGGACGAAGCGAAGAATCTGTAAAAATTAATTCACAATTACCTTTTTTTATAATGAAGGTTTTAGAAGAAATAAATAGATATCTAATGTTATATAATGGGGTTATTAAAGCACTCAATATCATATTCTAAACCAAGTTAGCATCAAGGTTCCACGTCGCATCCACGAGTGAGACCTTTCCTAAATCATAAAATCAACGGTCTCGACTTACGACGTTTCGTGGATACGACGCTAGAAATCACGTACAGTAAAGTTTTTTCTTCTATTCGTTCCTTTAGCTTAGTTATGTTTCCATGTACATCATAGAAGTGTCGTTATATTTTTAGATTATGACTTCAATACATGTATACACGCTGCATTAGCATATGCGTGACTTTGGTGCTTATGTACGTACGGATATGTACTGTATTTGGGTGTGTTCCGACTCACGTCAAAATACGGGTTACGATGCTTAAGTCTATGGGCGTCTTCTGTACGTGCCATGAAAGTTAATCCAGTATTAGAGTTTAATCCAGATCTCTAGTACGCATGCGCGTTGGCAGCGGCCAGGATCAACTTTTAAAGCACCTCTAGACCAAATATTAAGCTCATTTTTTAATCCTGCACATGCGCAGAAGGGACACGTTAATCCCACCAATCATGTACTCTTACGTCACGTGTCCGTCATGAACTTCATGGGTGCCATCGCTTGAGTTGTCATTGTTATTTTCGGCAATGACATCGATCGTCTAAGAATTTCCATACGTAGTATTTATTATGAAAATCAAATTGTATATATTTATACAAATGATCAAAGATTCTGATGAAATAACTTCTGGTAATGAATGTAAAAAAAAACAATATAATCCTACGAGGAATCTTTGAAATTCAGGGGCTGCGGGCATGGAACTCATATTTCCAGGTTAGTGAAACAAAAATTACATGGTCAGGATCACACAAGCTGACGTTTTAAATCAAATATGAGCCAGTATTTTAAAAAAAGAATTATGCACTGATTTTTTCTCAACTACTTTACAACAAAATTAACAAGTATACTTTTCTATGGACCTCCTGAACAGCATCCTGAAGAAAACATGTTTCCCTCCAACACGATTCAACGCAGCAAAGAGCTGTCTGAGGAAACTGCGCAATGCGTATTAATTGATGAATGTCAATTTTGTACTTGTGTCATTGAAATAAAGATTGGTTTTATAGTTGTTAGAGCAGTTTCGTTACCCATTTTACTACTATAAATATAAGATCGTTATCATGGAAAAATTGAATATTTAATAAATAATCATGTTTCCCTTATAAGTAAGCCTACTTGTGCCTCGTAATTATCATATGAAGATCAAACTGCATCTTGAGTGACTGACTACAACTTTCTATAACAATCACCTTTTCTCCAGTCTATAAAAAAGGAATATCAGTTGTCAGAAAAATCTTTTAACAATGCAGTCTGAATGCAAATTGCAAGGTTTATTTATCCAAATAAATTTTATATCGGACTGCAAATCTTTAGGTAATATCTTTAATACTGTCTTCTACATCATATGCGTAGGGGCATGAAGGGTGAATGTTGAATAGATATCTTTTGGATGATTTTGTTGCTTATTTACAGGTATGAGTGCATTACTTGCTCCAAACGCTACCCTACACAACATGCAATAGTTATGTGTGAAGAGAACATTGCACAGAAATGTTTCAAAATACCACAGATTGTTCAGCAATAAAAAGACAACATACCTCAGCTCCCACCCTTTAGATTTGCAAAACCTATTCCCACACGCCCAGAAATACGAGACCAGGATCTTCACATCAAAAACAGTAGGCAGAACCATCACTATATCAGACCAGGAACATCACAAGAATTGATAGAAATTTAAAGAGACAGTCCATTATCTTAAGATTCCAAACAAATCATATTTGAAACAGATAATCTTGAAGAAATGTGTACAGAAAATAGAGGTATGAATTTTCTTACTTTGATATGATGCTAGTCTTAGTTTTCTATTTTGGGAACACTGGGAGGCATAAAGAATTGATTAATAATATGAATATTTTTTTAATGCCTTGTCTTCAATCATGTAGGTACGTCTGGGATGAAGGGAAGGAAAAGGTGGTCTTCAGAAGCATCTGAGAAGTTTATATCATTATTGACATAACACCTTAAACAAATTATGAGGCAAAGCAGTGCAAACATAAAAAAGGCATAAGATAATTAGCATTATGAAAACATTAGTAAGTCTCAATTTCATGAAATACACACTAAATATAACAATTTCGAAACCTAAGAGATGTCTTGAATAGTTTCTTAAATATGATTACCAAAAATGACATTACAAAAAGAAAGAAAGAAAAATAAAACATGAAATCTCCCAAAAGAGCGAATTTCACGCGCGACATTTCTCTTCTCTCCGACGTTTCCATGACAACGGTGGTGATAGAACAGTGAGTACGACAGTTTTTACTGAACATTACTGTCGCGCCGTCCGTCTTCGGTACGGACACGGGGGATTAAGATTAAACTAAATACGGTATTAAGAGTTAAGAACGCTACAAAAGACGCCCTATGACTTACTTATAATACCTCGACGACGCCATCGTAGGAACTGATCTCCGTCGTAAGTCGAGGACCCCCTTTATTACAATCCTCTCAGACCTGCGATTTCAGAAAGCGTTTTCCGGCTTTGATGTTATTCACTTTATCATATCGCGTCACTATGG